AGTTGTTGGACAAGGAGGGGGACGTATGACCATATCCTTGAATTTGACCTTGACTTTGACCTTAGGGGTTATTTGAAGGTCAAATAACATTTTTTAAATGGAATTGCCTATTTTCGACCCCGGATTTGGAAAGAGCGGGAAATTTTAGAATAGGATATGGTATGATCGATAAGATCAAATGTCATGTTTTGAGGTCATTTCAAAGTCAAAAGGAACTTGTACGTGTATTCATGCGAAAATCGTATCTGTATACGGGGATTTCTAAATTATCTTCTACACTTAGCATTACCCAGAGACAACGACGTGGACGTGGTAGAATTCTGCCTCTTTCGGGGTGCTTGTTTAGGGTGAGTCCTCTTGCCTCTCACTATGCATACTTTGCTATTGTTAATCTAGCTATTCAAAAGGTTTTCGAAAGTTGCACCGTTAGCATTTATGCAATAATTGAGCCTTCTTTGGAAATGGGCCACTGTGCTGAGCAAGACATTTCGTGGAATCGCTTCACAAGCTCGTCTTATGCGATTTTCCATATCTTCTCTTGTTGTTGGTTCTTCTTTGAAAACAACTTCTTTCAAATAGCCCCAGAGATAAAAATCGAGTGACATCAAATCAGGAGAACGAGGAGGCCATGACAATCGGAGCCTCTCGACTAATCCATCGGTTCGGGTACGTTTCATCTAAAAACCTCCTGACTATACGTGCAAAGTGCGGTGGTGCACCATCCTGGTTGGAAGAACATCCTTCGCCTGGTTTCCAAGTCTACGTTCTCCAACAAATGAGGCAATTGGTCTGTGAGCAAATCGAGGTACGTATTTGCATTCACAGTACGTTCGAAAAAGAATGGACCGACCAAGTATCCATTAACAATCCCGCACCAGACATTGAGGCTCCAGCGGTGTTGATTGTCAATCGCTCTATGCCAGTGCGGATTGGTATCGGACCAATAATGGTAATTATGCCGGTTCAACTCCCCTGTGTTCTTGAACGTCGCTTCATCGGAAAACATCACAAATCTAAAAAAATTAGGCTCCCGATCGATCTGCTGTAAGGCCCACCGGCAGAACTCGAGGCGTCGATCAAAATCGGCAGGTAATAATGTTTGGGTCAAAGTGATATGATAAGCATGGTACTTCCGAGCCTTCAAAATCCGCAAGATTGTGGACTTCGGTATTCCTGTGGATACCTCCAGTCTACGGCTCGAAATATGAGGATCGAGATAGACCGATGCCAAAATAGTCAGCACTCGAATGTCATTCTCGTCATATTCGTGATGACGACCTTGACGTGTCATTTGCCCAGTACGTGCCCTCGTGGTCAAATTTCTGATCGTCACGTTACACGGATGTCGTCTCCTCGGAAAGCGCTGAGCGTAAAGTGCTGTGGCATTCACATAGACACCTCGACATTCTCCTAAAATATAAATCATATCAACGATCTCATTGAGTGTATAATCTCCCATTTTAATCACACCAGATCTCTGCTTATTAATACTAAGAGACAAGCTGCATGATAATAATTGAGTTTTATCTCAATGAACAATATTTATTATACTAGCTTTATAATAATTATTGTTATAATTATTATTATCAATATTATTTTTGGGCGAATAATGATAATAATAACAATGATAACACTATTTTGTATTCTCAGCGAATAATTCCATACGAGTGAAAAATGTGAGCATTACTCGGAAGCGACGTGGACATATTGTCTTTCTCTGCGTGCTCCTACCGGCCACATGTGAATGCCGCAGCACTTTACGCTCAGCGCTTTCCGAGGAGACGACATCCGTGTAACGTGACGATCAGAAATTTGACCACGAGGGCACGTACTGGGCAAATGACACGTCAACGTCGTCATCACGAATATGACGAGAATGACGTTCGAGTGCTGACTATTTTGGCATCGGTCTATCTCGATCCTCATATTTCGAGCCGTAGACTGGAGGTATCCACAGGAATACCGAAGTCCACAATCTTGCGGATTTTGAAGGCTCGGAAGTACCATGCTTATCATATCACTTTGACCCAAACATTATTACCTGCCGATTTTGATCGACGCCTCGAGTTCTGCCGGTGGGCCTTACAGCAGATCGATCGGGAGCCTAATTTTTTTAGATTTGTGATGTTTTCCGATGAAGCGACGTTCAAGAACACAGGGGAGTTGAACCGGCATAATTGCCATTATTGGTCCGATACCAATCCGCACTGGCATAGAGCGATTGACAATCAACACCGCTGGAGCCTCAATGTCTGGTGCGGGATTGTTAATGGATACTTGGTCGGTCCATTCTTTTTCGAACGTACTGTGAATGCAAATACGTACCTCGATTTGCTCACAGACCAATTGCCTCATTTGTTGGAGAACGTAGACTTGGAAACCAGGCGAAGGATGTTCTTCCAACAGGATGGTGCACCACCGCACTTTGCACGTATAGTCAGGAGGTTTTTAGATGAAACGTACCCGAACCGATGGATTGGTCGAGAGGGTCCGATTGCATGGCCTCCTCGTTCTCCTGATTTGACGTCACTCGATTTTTATCTCTGGGGCTATTTGAAAGAAGTTGTTTTCAAAGAAGAACCAACAACAAGAGAAGATATGGAAAATCTCATAAGACGAGCTTGTGAAGCGATTCCACAAAATGTCTTGCTCAGCACAGTGGCCCATTTCCAAAGAAGGCTCAATTATTGCATAAATGCTAACGGTGCAACTTTCGAAAATCTTTTGAATAGCTAGATTAACAATAGCAAAGTATGCATAGTGAGAGGCAAGGGGACTCACTCTAAACAAGCACCCCGAAAGAGGCAGAATTCTACCACGTCCACGTCGTTGTCTCTGGGTAATGCTAAGTGTAGAAGATAATTTAGAAATCCCCGTATACAGATACGATTTTCGCATGAATACACGTACAAGTTCCTTTTGACTTTGAAATGACCTCAAAACATGACATTTGATCTTATCGATCATACCATATCCTATTCTAAAATTTCCCGCTTTTTCCAAATCCGGGGTCGAAAATAGGCAATTCCATTTAAAAAATGTTATTTGACCTTCAAATAACCCCTAAGGTCAAAGTCAAGGTCAAATTCAAGGATATGGTCATACGTCCCCCTCCTTGTCCAACAACTTTTGTATGAAACTTTTTTCATTATTTCGCTCACCGGTCGAGTTATTCTCCATTAAAGGTTAAAATGGTCCACCCTGTATATATATATATATATATCTCGCGTCGTAAGAATGTATAACAAAGAGAAGCGACCGATAGGAAGAACTAATGTAATTCTTAAAAAATGAGGAAATAATATGTTGACTGTGATAATTATACTTAAATGTGATTCACGACATGTAAGAACTGCGGGACATAAATATCGTAAGATAAGAACTGTGTCACGCATTGTTAT